AGAGAACATAATTAATTTGAAATATAGATAACTTTGTGAATGCTCATTTCTTATGATAATTTGTGTAAATAACATGAAACATTTACTGGCATATCCTTTATTTTGTAAGGCTTTTCAGAAATCGCTTTGGCTATGAAAATAGTGTGCTTGAAGTTGAGCTGTTTTGTCAGGGTTGCTGTAACTATGCATCACCTCAATATCTTTTATTTTTTAAACATGAATGAAGGTCTATTTATGCAGCCTAAACCACATTCTGGCTTTTTCAGTTATTCATTTTCATTAAGAATGCTTTAAAAAAGCAATTCTGAAATTGTACTGCAATGATCTGTGGTGTCTGCTAAGAATTCAGTCTCACAGAACACCTGTAATTGTTCACTGTGTGGTACAATAGTTAACTGGTTTAATAATTATTAAAATTATAGTTTGACTGATCTAAATTTTGCTTATTAATACTTTGAGACTATTAACACTGCATTACGTTTCACTCCACTCAGGCTGACAAAATAAAGCTACATATATTTAATACTGGATTCTGCTCTGAACCGTAATTTATGACACTGGACTTGGTCTGGGGCAGACCCTTAATAGTGCCTGCATGCCTCCCCAGCACACTGCCTAGCAGTCCCTTACCAAAGACCAGAAGTCTGTTCACTCCAGTAGCATTTCCTCAGGCCATACTCTCTTGTGCTAGTCCACACTTTCTTGTGCTGTTGTTTACTCCATCACTCTTTGAGTCCATCCCCACTGCCTTGTTTCTAGGAACAGTATGCACCCCAAAATGTGCCTCTCTTGCTGTGGAATTAATTAACTTCTGTTGATTTTCCAGGTATGAATTGTATCTAATGATAGTTGTGCAATTTCTACCACAAAGTTCTATTTCTGATTGAGGTGATACTGTAATAAAAGTAACAAGTATACTGCTTGTACTACCACCTCAAACATCTTTTGTATCTACAAATTAAGTACAGGTAATATTTGCCCATCATCATCTGAAGTGTTGTAAGACTTAATTTAACACTAGTTTGACCCAAAGTTTTAGCCATAGATTAAGTAAATATCTTCAGGAATTTCTGGCTATCTTCAATAAATATACATCAGAAGAATTTGTCCCATAAAATATTCAGGTACTTCAGTTGCTTGATTTTGAACGGCAGGGGTAAACATGAATTTATCCTCCATTCTCCGATGGTGTTCTCACATGGGATTTGTTGGGCTTCTATATCTAGACTTTTTATGCCAAGCAGTTTTAATTCTCAGGGGTGCATCTAGGGAATTTCAGTATGGTCAGTAAGGTGGGCTGTCATAAGCAGCGATCTCACCTAGTTTGACAATATTAATTTTACATGTAATTTGTCCATTGCATATCAGCTCCTCTGCTTTACCACCACTGTTCTTCCAGCTGCAATCTTTACCTTGTTCAGGAAAGTGTGTATTACACATAAATATTTGCTCTGAAGAAAAGCAGTGAATTTGGGGGGGGTGGGGGGGTGGGGGGTGGGTGGAGCGACTGCATTTAATTACAAGAAAAATATTTTCTGGTCTTACTGTCTGTGTATTAAGGCACATATAGTTGTGTTTAACAAACATCCTCTTTCCCTCTTTTCCACCATTCTTGATCCTTATGGATTACTGAGGAAATAAAATCAATCAACAGGATTAGAAGTTACAGACCTAAATATGGGCTGAATCCAGCCTCAGATCTTCATTTAAAAAGGAATTTAATCTTTTATGTCTCTGCCTATACGAATAAACAGCAAAAATACAGTAATAGGTTGCTAGCACTGCAAAAAGCCTGGGTAATCTTTTTCCCTGGGATACATAACTAAGGACAAACTTGGTTCTAGTTATTAGCAGTGTGTTCCTCCAGAAATCAAAGGCAAAATCCAACCATCTCTATTGGAAGGTGTGATGGGCAAACCCAGTACAGAAGAGAATACAGTCTTTTTCTTTTCATGTGTATTTTTTATATAATTAAACCCCAAAACCCTTGAATGCTTTCTCAGGTACTGCTACCGAGACAGCTCTAAAAATTATTTCCCCAGAGCCATTAATCACACTATTGTTAATGTCTGTATGTTTTTTAATCTTGGCTCAGTCCCACCAATTAGATGGCAAGTCTATGTATCAAAGTCTAAATTCAGCTCACTTCATTGTTTATGCGATACTACCTCCAAAAAGGAAAAGCAGATGCCACCCATGGGATGAGTACAGCTCACAATTATCATTTCCAGCAACCTCAGTATTGAATTGGTGCACCAAAGGTAAGTGCCGCAACAACGTACTGTCAACCTGAGGTCGCATGTGTGTAGTCCCCGTATGAAAACTAATGAGAAAAGAGGATATTCTGTCCTCCCAAGCATGTATCTGGCATACTGGCTGGTCAGAGTCTGCATACCTGTCCTTGAATCATCAGATTAAAAAAGAAAGTGAAAGAATAATGTAGTGAAACTTACTTCAGCTAGAATCACTCTACTGAAAGGAAAATTTAGCAAGCTGCACTTAGGAAGAAACTACAGTTATTTAAGTAAATAAAAATATTAAAACCAAACAAAGAAACCTTCTCATATCTAGTAACTTATATGGTATCTGCGGGGTTTGGTCCAATATCTTTTGGTAAATTAACAGTACTTTTATGCTAAAAAGATCATAATGGTATATTGTAATTTTCCACTGTACTGACCATGGCCCTGAAAATCATTTGAGAAGTTTTATTCCTAATTCTCAGTAGAAAGTCATTCTGTAGACTTTTAAATTCCATTTTTAAGGTGATGTTACAGAATTCCCTAGTGTGCCACAGCCCTCGTGCCACATTGATGTTAAAAGCACAGGAAAAGGGTCTTTATGATTTGTATTATGTAAATACATATAAAGGCACATTAGTACCTGTTACATGGAGGTGGACTGCTGGGTTTGGGAGGTTTACAGTGCTGCTATCACCCTGGGTCTCACTCAGTCTGTGGGATGGCTCGGCCCCTCCTTATTTCATGCCCCCAGGCTGTGGCGAGCAGCTTTTTGTTCTTTCCGCACATGGAAGACGCTCTGCTTGGTGACTCATGTCTTGCCAAGGTGATTTATAACTCACAGTATCTGGCTAAGTGCAACTGACAGCCAGAAATGGGGGAGAGCAGGGAAGTGCACACAGCTCCTGGATAGGGGATTATGGTGTGCTTTCTTGCTGCATCCTTCCACATCCATGTTCTTCTGGCCTCTTAACCAACTGCCAATATACAACTTTAAGCCCTAATTAGCTTCCAAGAACATATTAAAGAAAAACCATGATGTGGGTTTATAAGGGGGAACAAGTGTTACTGTTCCTTCAGAGTAGAATTTGTCCTCTGCTAGTTTTTACATCCAATTCTAAGAGACTCTTACAGTACAACTTCATACTCCTATTCTGACCTGGCTGTCTCTCCTATCAATTCCACTTCGGGTCCATGCCCAGCTCCTTGAAGCTCTTCTGCTTGTTGTTTGTTCCCCTTCACTCTGAAACACCTCCACAGCTTGGATGCTCTTGGAGGAAACTGCCTTCTACCACTGTCTTTTCACACCCCAGAGGGGCTGGACTGAACACAGAACCATCTCCAGCCCATGGCAACTTTCTGTCAAAAAGCGGATGCAGGCATTGGTGACACTGACATTATAAAAGTAACCTCCGGCAGTCCCTATGGCGTACCTTCCTGGGGTCTGCTCTCCAGGCATGGTTCTGACCAAGTGCCACATTGCATCTCAGCTGGCCCCATCTAAGAGCGGCTCAGGACAGGGACAGGCTGAGCAGAGCTAGAGTGGGGCACAGGTCTGTGGGGGTGCCCTGCAACACCCTACATCACTCACCCTCCCGGGAACACCACAGCTGTGCCACTAGCTGCTGGTGGGTCACCCACGGGCACAACCCAAGTGAAGTCTGCTGAAGGACCTCATTCCTTTGGAGGCAGGGAGGGGAGAGGGCAATAACGGGTGTTTATATTGCAGCAGCACACCCATGTACTTGCAGCACAGGGCGAGTCAGAGCAGAGCCGCATTGCTCCCGGCCTGCGTGCATCAGTCCAAAGTGCTGTGCCCCAGGCAGGGCGGGATGGATGTGATGAGGGAGGGTGGAGCACGAGCCAGTTGTTATCTTCCTACTTGGGTCTCACAGAGATGGGGTGGTGGCTTGATTTGTTACTGTAGGTAGAGGGAGAGTGGCAGTACTGTTGGTGAGGGTTTCCCAGAGTGGGGCTCCTCTGCCCCTGTAGCAAGGCACCCTGGCTGTGGCAAAGAAGCCATTGCAATGCTGACCCCCCTATGCCACCACAGGGTGCCCCAGGCACTGCAGCTCCCAGCCCTGCTCCACGTAATGCCTCTTTCCCTTCCTCTTCTCAGGTTTTTCCAGTCATCTACTATGTGCATCCCTAACCGTACATCTCATCCCTGCCTGCTTTCTCTCTGTTTCCCATTTTCTTACAGTGTTTTCCCAGCTCCTCATCTCCTGCTCAGGGAAACAATATATATACTAGGATGCTTCTGCTTTTCATGCCAGCTTCCCACTTGGTACCTTAGAAGAGAGTGTTGTATCTGTTTCCTGCTCTGATTCACAACCCAGCTGGTACTGATGCTTCCTTGCTTATTTCCTAAGGTAATTCTGCCTCCCTGCCACTTCTGGTTTTGTCTGGGGCTTGTCTGGGATTCATCTGTTGTTTATCCCAAACTAATTGTATTCTGCTACTCAGATCAAAGGGACTAGTTCTGTGTCTGTTAAGATAAACCTGCAATGCAGTTTATGGGGAAGAAACGCCTTCAGAAAGTGTGTGTGATCCCAGCAAAAAAGCAATTGCATGAGAGGTGGAAGCACTGCAATGCAGAAAGAGAGCGGATTAGGATTATAGTGAGTATAAACATTTTAGAAATCAGAATAGCTTCAATGTTATTCTTAAAAATAATGGATTAATTATTCCAGTGACATTGTGCTGTGTGGGGAAAGAAAATGATTACTTAAATCACTATTGACATACAGCACATGAATTTCCACTTGATTTTATGAACAGCCCCTATCATCATGTCTTGTGTGGACTGCCTCATGCTCATTGTACTGTGGGGTTAGACACACTGTCACCATTCCTATAAATAGCCTGCTTGATTATGAAGGACTATTAGTGTTCCCTCTGGGAAGAATAGGAGTTTTCACTGGCATTTTAGGCCAGATTTCTTGAAACTTTCTGGTGGAGATAGGGTTTGGAGAGTAAAAAACTGTGCTGAAGAGAGTCAATAATCAAGGTATTAATGCTTGAAACACAGATGCCCAGTGAGCCTGGATAATTCACAGAGAAAATGGAAGTGTGATGGTGGTGTGCTTTTAAACAAGGAGGCTTGGCTTCTGGGCTTGCAAGGAGCAAGGCAGCTGCTATGAGGAGAAAGAGAAGTTCCCTGTGATCCAAAGGAAAGCGGAGCTGCAGCTCAAGGGCAGCTGAAATGTTGGAGAGTTTGCTCTGCACCTGAAAGATGCTCAGGCATACTGGGGACCAGCAGGTAAGGAAATGTGGTTTTTCATGTATTTTTGGAGCAAAGAAAGAAGCAATTACATGTACAAAACCCTTGTGTTTCAGCTATCAGCTGTTCAGCTCTTAGTATGATCTTTAGAGTATGGAGAGCACCTGCAGGCAAACATCCTCAGGTTGGTTCAGTGGGGATGGATGTTTTTAAGCTTAGGGTGGGAGTGGGGATCCCTGGCTGTAAGGATATAGGTCATTCGGGCTGTGCAACCCTGTTTCTGTAAGTAAACGCACTGGAGACACCAAAGACAGTACGCATCCTGCTGGCCATGCAGTGAGGGAAGCTTTATTGCATGTCTTGTGGGAGGTCAAACACAGGACAGCAGTGAATGATAGGTTTGCTAGGTGTCTTCTGACTATTAAAAGTAACACCACCAATATATTTAGGGGTTTTCCTTACAATTAGCAACCAATCTGGAATGCAGACCCCACCTTCCGCAGCCTGGGAAGTTTCCAAGAGCCCAGTGAACAGCACCCTTTGTGCAAAAAGCAAGTCTGTGCACAAGAACATTGCCCTACAGAAAGGAAAGGAATAAATCATTACATTTGGGGATATGACTAACTTCTTCTGAACAGTGAGGAAAGCACCACACTTGCCAGTTATCTCTTCTGTGAGTTTCCTCAGTTGTGGCTGTGGCCATCTGATGAGTGTTTCCCTTTCACTCCCAGCACAGCGCAGTCTGTCTGCTGTCAGCAGTTAATGAAGTCACTCGCAAGACGCCATTCCCTGGGGAAAAGCAGTGCTATGAATAAACCTGTTACTTGCGTCTATGGTAGCAGTGCTCTCAGCACTGCTTCTGCCATGCGCCCATCTCTGATGATTGTGCCATTTTTCAGCAATGGTCTTTAGAGCTATTGCTATTCAGGATGCCAGGTCCTCTTCCTCCTTGCAGAGCTGTAGAGCTCAGCAAGTGCTTCTGCACTGTCCCCAGTGACAGATGCAGGCTCTGAGGTACACAGGTTCACCAAAAATGTGCAGAAAGTGAATGAGTAATCTTACCGCAGCAAGTACTTTTAATAATAGTCCGCAGTGAATGTCATCATCAGATACTTCATCAACGCACATCCTACAATAAGGAGGAAAAAAAATAAGCTAAGGAGGAAAAAGAAAGCTTTTTTTTTTTCTGAGAACAGAATATTTCTATGCTACTGAAATAGAAAGGGAAACTGTTAATCTGATGAGAAGTACTAGAGAAATAAAATCAGCAAAAATACAGGTAAAGAATGATGAATCGTGGTAACTTATCATCCAAAGTATGTAAGATCATGTAAATACCTATTACAATTTGTAAGGCATACAGTCCTTGTTAGTGACGGCAAAGTCAATGACTCTTCAATGCACTTTATTGGCTGAATTTGTGGTTGAGATCTAACCAAAAATAATTTTACAGTTGAATACCTTTGTAAGAAAATTTGGCTAACAATGCCAATAAATGGTGAAAAAGAGAAGAATTGAGTAAAGTAGTATGCAGTTTGAACATTATCTGTTCTCTCTTTGAGAGATGTGGGGGACAACTTCTTTTAAATGTGTGTGGGGTTGTTTTTGTTGTGTATGCAGATACTTTCTTTTCTTTTTACAAGACGTGATGGTCTTAATAGCCAACTCCAAATCAAGCTGTCAGAATTCTTGTTCTCAGAGAGCTAGGATGAGGTCTTTTTAGCATTTTGTTGTTTTTTCTGTGTTGTGATCTAAGTGTCTGAACCATTCTGACATGAGCAGAGTTAAAATTGTTGTCTCCTATATATCTCTGTTCAGGTGCCTCATTCTCCTGCTTGTATAAAAGCAAAACAAAAGAAGCCCTTGTTACTCATACTTTTCATGTTAATTAGGGATGGATGAATAAGTTTAAGTGATTCATGACTTACATTAAAATTTGACATCAGCCTTTAATGTGTTCAGCCTGACACATGGTGTGTCATATAATATTGATATATCTCATCAACCTGGCAATCTGCATCAGCTTGCCATGAAAGGAAAATGATAGAGTAGAACTGATCTACTTCTCTGTCAAAGTTTTAATTAAAACATTCATGCTGTCTGTTAAGAGTGAAGGGGCTTGGGGAAAGTCCCAAGATGTCTGTTCTGTCATTAGCAAGATTTCATTTTTGAGAGTTTAGGAGGATAGGAATACCCCTCTTAAATCAGACTTATGTGACCTGGTCAGCATCTCATTGGCATTCAAAACTCTCATCCAACTTGCTCTCTGTTATCCTATGTATAAGAGAATAAAAACTAATGCATCAGATTTTCCCATATGCTTGCCTAGCAGTTTTCTTCAGTAACAACTGAAGCAGCTGGGGTGGGTTCAGCAAACAGGCAGAGCAGGAGCATTGCTGCCCTTGCAACGGTTCTCACCCTTTTGTTTGGGGCACAGAAGTGCAAAACTGAGGGTAGGTTTCTCCTTAAGGGTTTCTTTCCCATTGCTGGCACCCAGACAGCCTAGAGGCTGTGACAAAGCAATACTTGTCCATTTGCAGGCTTGTCAGCGGGGAGGTAGAGCCTGATCAAAATGAGGTCTCATTTAGTGCTAGCTGCCGCTGAAATGAGACCTTGCCAGACTACCTAGGAACACCACTTGTGTGATAAAGCCTCTGGGCTGTGTCTGCAGAGGTGCCTTATTAAGGTCATATAGAGACTGTTTTTTCTTCTCTTAGCAGAGCCATCTGGAGGGTAGGACTGCAAATGCTGCTGTCTCTCCTCAGGACAGAAAACCTACTTGTAACAATGATCTTTATAATTCCTAGAAGATGCTTCTTGCCTTCTTCAGTCCCATAGTGCCATTAGCTGCAGTTCATCTCATCCAGTGGCAATGGATATTAAAACCACAGACCATACCTCAAATGGTTGTTTAAAATCAGCTTTAGCAAGCTTTGCTCCCTCTCTGACCTTTTTCCTGGTTTCCATGTCTCCTGTGCTTGCCTGTCCTCAACCCAGGCTTTCAGGCTCAGATTTGGAAACCCTCTGTTCCTGACTGTTATTTTTCTGGCAATATTTACCAGCTGTCTTTGTAGAACTGAATCAAGGTCTTCATGATGCCTGTGCATTCAGAGTATTAACAGACATTATAAACAGAAAAATATTTGTCAGATTTCTCCCACAAGAGCTGCACTAAGGAATCTCTTCAGCCAGGAAGGCTGCCCAAGTGATGTTTGTGATGCTCGTGATGCTCGTGATGCTCTGTCTGACCCTGAGCCTTGACCAGTTGCTTTCTTCCAAGGAACAATCTTCCTCAAGTGTCACTGTAACAACAGAAAAAGCACAGTATCAGGATCATAAGGAAAATTATATACTAGGAAGACTGTGAACTTAGAAGAATTCAAGCAAAAGGCCAAGTCTTGAAAGATTCGTTAATACATAAGTTCAGAAGCATGAGCTAGATCGAACTATTGTTACTCAACACACAAGCATAGCAAATAAATCTAAGAGGGTTTTTTTGAGGCAGCAGGAGAAGAAAAGAAAATGCTCCTATAAAACAGCAAGGATGAATCAGATGGGAACACATGAGAACATAAATATCAGCTCAGGATGAGGGAAAGGTAGGCTTTATTATGCTGCGGGAGCAAACTGATGAAGTAGGAGATGTAGTAAACATGAGTGGTTTTATCAGTAATGTGACTGCTAGTATTGTGTGTGTCAGCACAGTCTGAATAAATAACTGCAATCTTTTGTTTGCTTTTGTATATGTTTAGAACTGTAAATACTGAACAACTTTCACAGAATGAGATAGAAATTGAAGACATCATGAGAACATGTTAAATAGGTACTTTCCACAAGACATTGTTAGCATATTCAGTCCACTGCTGGCATTATTTATTAGATAATCTTGCTTGAAATTGTTACTATGATTTTGACTTGTAGGTCATGTACCCATCCCCTTTGATCTTCAGGTTAACATGACATGGGTAGAAGAGAGCATTTGTGTTTTTCCTACATGCGGGAAAGTTCACACTCTACAGAATAAGAAAGGAACTTCCCTAGCTTCAAAGTCTAGAAAGACAGCTGAAGAATTCAATGAACAAATGATACTTTGGATTGATGTTTTTCTGGTTCAGATTTCTTCTGTGCAGCAGTAAGCACCTGATATGCCCACATTAAGAATCACTTTGCTCTTGACTGTGTCTATAGAAAACACAGTGAGGCACCTCCTGTGTGTTAGCCCAAGACCTGCATTTGGTGTTCCCTGGAGGTCTGCTTAGCACCATGTTCATGGCTTGGCACGCTCCTCTGGTGCAACCACAAGAAGAGTATTTGACCTGCTTGAATTCTTCCTTGGTCTCTGCTGTTGCTCTCAGACATTACTGAGCACAGCTACCATTCCCTGGTGTAAAAGGGCATTCAGATCCCTCTTCTAAGTTAATGTTCACTCATTAACCTCTTCACCCTTAGGTACATTTTTGCTTTAAAATTTTGCAATAACATTATGGTAGTTAGACACTCAAATGTCTCCCCAGATTAGGGTGGGCAGGATCTTGCTTTAATTGAGAGAGTCTCACCCACCATATCAGCATCTCACTATAAATCGAAAGCAAAAATGATTTTTTGAAAGAATCAGATCATAACTGACAGAAGTATAATAAATAACTGACAGCTATGACTGAGCGTCTGCATTGCTTCCCTAACATAACACTATGTTGTAGGCTGGCTTTGAGTAGGTTTTTCACACAATTTCAGGTAATGATTAACTTCCAATGACTAAAATACCTCCAGGAGAATTGATGAGACATCTGATGTAGTTACTGAAGTTAGTATATTCAAGCTTTCACTTTACCTCATTCGTTCAAAATTGGATTTACTTTAACTGAAGCTATTTCAAATCTACCCCATAAATATGAAATCAGAAGTACTATTACAGCATAATTCCAAGCTGAAATGATTGTATTCCAGGCAGATGCACACACAGTATGTCCATGCAGGTTTTTTCATTTATTCAATTTACAAAACCGAAGGCATTTTAGCATCTGTGGCAATGCAATCAT